CTCCATTTCTCCAACCTTTTGTTCCTTCTCTTCATCCATCCGCCTGGTTTTGCTCTTCTCCTTCACTGGAACCACGCAGAGTTCCAGGAATCTGGAAACTTGCTGACATTCCGGCAGAATTCCTAGATTGCAGGCGAGGAGTGACGAGAGATGGGAGATTAGCTGTTCTTTTTTTTTATCTTTCTCTCTCTTTCTCTCTCTCTATCAATCTGTATCTACTACCCCTCTGTCTCAGTCATTGTCTTTCTCTTATTTCATCTCATTTCATGTCAAAACTCTCATACATCCTAAATGATTGGGTGAGAATGAATTTTTCATTTCACGTCTATGAAAGCACAAAATTGTTCTGTCTGAGTGTTTGTGTGTGTGTGTGTGTGTGTGTGTGTGTGTGTGTGTGTGTGTTCATCTTCCCCTTGAGAGTCTTGAGTGGTAAACAAATTACTGGAGGAAAAAGTAATTACACAAATGTTTATCTGTTTTGTTATTCCTCATGTTTACTGAACATTTTATGGACGACAGACAGTTTTAACATTGCATGAAGTGCATATCAAGTTCACCAAGGAGCACAGATGCTCATGCTTCATGCAAGTCTCGAGTCTCTGGGGAGCAAGTCTGAGTTGAGTCTCTAGTCTCAGGGGTGCTCAATCTCAAGTACTGAGTATCTGAATAGCAATTACCCAGAAAGCGAGGGCAGCAGGTTAGATGCAGGTTGGAACTAAACTCTGTAGTAAAGTAGATCCTCATCATCAGGGTTGGTGACCACTGCTCCATTCCCTGGGCTGTCCCTGGAGTCCTGCTCAAGTCTTTCAATTCAAGCGTGAATCCAACTCTTGAGTCTCTGGGATGAGTATGAGTCATGTCGCAAGTCTCTTGGGTATGAGTCTGAGCCAGATCTCTAGACTCTGGGGTGCAAGTCTGAGTTGAATCTTTGTTCTTTGGGATGCAAGTTGAGTCTCAAGTTTCTTGGGTTAGTCTGAATCAAGTCTTGAGTCTGTGGAGTGCACGTCTGAGTCGAGTCTTAAGTCTCTTCAGTACAAGTCTGAGTTGTGTCTTGAATCTCTGGGGTATCAGTCCGAATGAAGTCTCCAGTCTCTGGGGTGCACATCTGAGTTGAGTCCCAAGTCTCTTTGGCACAAATCTAATTTGAGTCTTAAGTCTCTAGAGTGTGAGACTGAGTCAAGTCTCGAGTCTCTGGGGTGCACATCTGAGTCGAGTCTCAAGTCTCTTCGGGACAAGTCTGAGTTGAGTCTTGAGTCTCTAGAGTGAGTGTCAAGTCTCTGGGAGTGTAGTTTGAACCACAGCCATATCAAGCTAATAAACTTCTAAGTCCTTGATTGGCTGGATCAGATGTAATAGTGTTGCGTAATGTGGGGGCGCATATTAGTTACAGGTTGGAACAAAACTCTGCAGTAGAAAGTAGATCTCCAGGAAGAGGGTTGGTGATGACCGCTCCAGTCTATCGGGTGCGAGTCTGAATCGAGTCTCTAGTCTATGCGGTGCGAATCTAAGTTGAGTCTTGAGGCTCTGGAATGTGAGTCTCAAGTCTCTATGGTGCGAGTCCAATTCGACACGGCTTCAAATAACAAGTCTTTCATTATAGAAACACCTTCAGTATAGAGGACACAAAGGAAGCTAACTGGCTAACTTAATAGATCAGTATGTCTGGCAAGTACAACCAAAGCAATGTTAAATTCATTCACACCTGGCATTCACCCAGTTACACCAAGGCTGTCCCAAATACCATTTTTTGGTCATCAACAGCAAATATTCACAGCTTTGCCCTTCTGAAGGGAGGGCTGATGGGGCTGAGAAAGCTGTTCAGTAAATCTGCACCTGACACCCGTCTTGAAAGAATATCCACGATTTCCTCCACTGCAAAATCGAATCTCCAGGCTAGCTGCTTTCCTCACAGAGTGCTTCGGCACTATGGTGCAACCGTCTAAGCGTTGGTCCTATCATCAGGAGATCGCGAGATTGATTCCTGGTGATGCCACAGCCGTCCGTGGCTGGGAGTCTAACTGAGCACAATTGGCCTCGCTCTCTGGGTGGGTAGGATGCCCGGCTGTCCGGTGACGTTGCATGAGTGGCAGTTCGAAAAAGATGCAGTGCTGCTTCACTGGTCTTGGAGGAAGCTTGTGCTAGCCTTCACCCTCCTAGAGCTGGTGGTATTGTGTGACTGGGGGGTCCTAACTAACTAGTGGGTGGAATTGGATATGACTAAATTGGGCAGAAAATTGGGGAACCCCCCACCCAAAAAAAAACACTTCAGCACTCACAATGTGGCTTCACTCCATCTATCTGACCCGCTAGCCTAACTTAGTAGCAGGCTAGGGGGTAACAGCATAGTGCATACATGGATTAACCAGCCTTCACAGATAATGTGCTGACAAAATATATTGTGGCATTGCCACACCACGTTATAAGTATTTTAGTTTTTGTTAAAGAAGAGAAATGTTTATGCAGGGCTGTTTTAGGTTAAATCGTACAATGACTTTTGTGTTGAAGAGCCTGAATACGGCTGGAGTGGTGGGTTTTCCGGAGTAGAACAGAGGGATGTGTTTTTAGCTGTTAGCACTGGAGAGGCTGTGCTTGTTCTTGCCATGTTTGGCGCTATTTTCAGTTAAAAATAACGCTGAGATCTGGAACAAAACCTTGAGTCATCTAAGTTTCTTCCAAGAACCCCAAACGTTACAGTAGTTTGCTGTTCGCCTTTATTGATAGTCTACATTTGGCCAAAAGAAGAATATCCAAATCCCAAAATTAAAAGGTGAATACCAACCCAACGAACAAATCTCGGAGCAGTTGAATATTCGGGTCCAGCCCTAATTCACACCTGGCATTAGAATGTCTTGGTCGAGCCAATCATAAGTGAATAACGCAAAGTACTAGTGTAATCAGTGACTTTAAGACACCTTGTGATCCAATCACTCCAACGTTGCTCCAGTTTGTTCATAAGTAGGGTTAGTGGTGCATTTAAATCATCTTAAAACAAATACATTTCCTAAAACCTCAGAAATTGTGTTGCAGATGCAAACGCTGTAGCCATTTACGACCTGCTGTCTTCTGCCACAAACATTATCTCCTCGCCAAACCCCTTCTCTTTCATCGCCACATCCAGAGCATCTGTTTGATGCAGCCCGTTTCGGTCAGGCCTAGTCTGTTCAGGTCATCCCCAGTCTGCTCGCGTCTTTGATTCGGAGATCAGACAGATCAGACCTTTATACAACATCAAAAGAATGAGCTGAAAAAAGAGCGGAAAAAGGAGAAAAATGCCCTGTGAAAATCCCCCCGAGAAGAGCCCCCGCAGCCCTCTCCAAACATTCCTCTGATCCGCACCCGCTTTATTTTACACAGCCCCCGCACACACACACACCTCGCTCCGGCGTGGGCGCAAGAGCCGTAGTGAGGAAAATGGCCCCCATTAAAGAAGGAGGACGCAGATTTGAACCCATGGAGCGGTCAGCGTCAGGAGCTGTGAAGGAAAAGAAGGAAAGAATCTGGGTTTTACAGCAGAGGTGGCTGTCAAAGAACAACACTGTAGGAAGATATGAACACTGTAGGATAGATAGACAGACAGACAGATAGATAAAAATAAGTGAGTCTGAGTCAAGTCACAAGTCTGTTAAGAGCGCATCCGAGTTGAGTCGTGAGCCACTTAAGAATGAGTCCAAGTCGAGTCACAAATCATTTAAAAGTCCAAGTCGAGTCGTGGGTCAGTTAAGAGTGAATCCAAGTTGAGTCACGTGTCATGGAACAGTGAGTCCAAGTTGAGTCATGAGTCGCTTAAGAGTGAGTCCAAGTCGAGTCATGAGTCAGTTGAGAGTGAGTCCAAGTCGAGTCACGAGTCATGTAAGAGTAAATCCAAGTCGAGTCATAAATCATTTAAGAGTGAGTCCAAGTCGAGTCGTGAGATCAATTCCTGGTGATGCCACAGCCGTCCGTGGCTGGAAGTCCAAGTGAGCACAATTGGCCTCGCTGTCTGGGTGGGTAGGATGGCCCCTCCCTACCCCATCACTCAGCGCGATGCTAGTCAGCACAGGCGTCTGTTAGCTGATGTAACAGAACTGGCGGTTGGCGCTTTCCTCCGAGCGCGGGCGGCTGTCCAATGATGTTGCATGAGTCCAAGTCGAGTCAGGAGTCATTTAAGAGGGAGTGCAAGTCGAGTCATGGGTCAGTTAAGAGTCAGTCCAAGTAAAGTCAGGAGTCATTTAAGAGTGAACCCAAGTCGAGTCATGAGTCAATTAAGAGTGAGTCCAAATCGAGTCATGAGTCAATTAGGAGTGAGTCCAAGTCGAGTCATGAGTCAATTAAGAGTGAGTCCAAGTCGAGTCATGAGTCATTTAAGAGTGAGTCCAAGTCAAGTGATGAGTCAATTAAGAGTGAGTCCAAGTAAAGTCAGGAGTCAGTTAAGAGTGAGTACAAGTCGAGTGAGGAGTCAGTTAAGAGTGAGTGAGTCAATTAAGAGTGAGTCCAAGTTGAGTCATGAGTCAGTTAAGAGTGAGTCCAAGTCGTCATGAATCAATTAGGAGTGATTCCAAGTCAAGTCATGAATCAATTAAGAGTGAGTCCAAGTCGAGTCATGAGTCAATTCGGAGTGAGTCCCAGTCAAGTCAGGAGTCAGTTAAGAGTGTTTCACTGGCGCACGTCATACAAGATACATTTTTGCCAAAGCAGTTAACAATTAATAATAAATTTAAGCTTAGAAAAAAATTAAAATACAAATAGAAGAACAAAAAGAATAATTTCTAATAATTAATAATGTACACTTTCTCTCCTATTCTCTCTCTCTCTCTCTCTCTCTCTCTCTCTCTCTCTCTCTGTCTCTCTCTCTCTCTCTCTCTCTCTTTCTCTGTGTCTCTTTTGCTCTCTTTGTCTCTCTCTCTCTCTCTCTCTCTGTGTCTCTGTCTCTCTCTCTCTCTCTCTCTCTCTCTCTGTGTCTCTCTTGCTCTCTTTGTCTCTCTCTCTCTCTCTCTCTCTCTCTCTCTGTCTCTCTCTCTCAGGGAGTTGCTGGTGCAGAAGAAGAGGGTGGTTTGCGCCGGTTTGCCATCTACAGAACTGCAGGAGAAACAGAGAAGCAGCCTCGCAGCACCTCTCCCACCAGACAAACGAGGTGAGAGAGAGAGAAGGTGGAGGAGAGAAATAGAGGGAGAGAAGCAATAGAGAAGACATAATGAGACAGAGAGAGTGGAGGAGAGAGAGAAAGAAAGAAAAAGGGAGAAAGGAGAGAAGTAAAGTGAAAGTAAAGAGAAAATGAGAGACTCAGTGAAAGAGAGAAACATGGGAATGAGAGAAAAAAGAAGAGAAAGTGAGTGTGAGAAGAAGAGAAATGAGAGAGAAGAAACAAGAGAAAGAGAGTGAGAAGGAGAGAAATGAGAAAAACAAGAGAAAGTGAGAGCGAGAAGAGAAATGAGAGAGAAAAACAAGAGAAAGTGAGAGCGAGAAGAGAAATGAGAAAGAGAGAAACAAAAGAGTAAGAAGAAGAGAAAATGAGAGAGAGAAACAAGAGAGTGAGAGAGAGAAGAGAAATGAGAGAGAAAATGAGAATTTAAGAGAGAGATGAAGAGAAACGAGAGAGAGAGAGAGAAGAAAAGAGAAAGTAAAGAAAAAAGAAAAAAGGAGAGAGGTAAATAGAAAATGAAAGAATGAGGAGGAGTGAGAGAAGAAGTGAGAGGGAGAGAAAGAAAAAGGAAGAGAACGATAGAGAGGAAAAAAGAGATAAAGTGAAAGAGATGGAGAGAGAGAAACAGAGAGAGACATAGGGAGAGAGAGAGAGAGAAAGTTAGTTTAGCCCACTTTTTCCTAACTTTAACTCAAACTTCTCTCTCTCTCTCTCTCCTTCCCTCGTTCCCATGGTGACTGTGGATGTGCAGCTTCACGCTCTGATCCCTATTTTTACCACAGTAACAATGGAGCTCACACTGCCGGAGCGTGAAGCAGCCCCTTTGTGTGTGTGTGTGGGTGGGACTGTGTGGGAGTTCTGTTGTACTGTACACTCGCTGACCCCTCCTTTGTAGCTCCGCCTTGCTGTTGATTTTGAGTTTGCGTTTGCCATCATCCACGGTCAGTGCCACCACTGTGCTGAGAATGACCCACCACCCTAACGATATCTGGCCAACAGAGGTCCTGTGGTCAGACTTGGGGCAGAGGGAGGCTGATCAACAGTGCAGCACCAGATAGGCTACAGTCTGTAATGGTGCACCTATATAGTGGCAGGTGGACAGCCAGAGGAAGCACAAAGAAGCAGTTTCTAATAAAGTGGACAAGTTAAAGGGTCCATATCTTACAATTTTAGTGTATTTTATTTTTTTGCCTCTGAGGTCCATTTATAATTATTATTTGTGTGGATATATGCACCAAAAATAGTCACAATTCATTTTCCAGCCCGTCTTTATCCCTTAGAATTAAACAGGCTGTTTTTGTTACTGCACCTTTAAGACTGATGTAGTTATGTAAATGAGCTCTGTTCTGATTGGCTGGCCTGTACTGTGCCTCATTCAAGAAGCACTCAGAGCTTAAACATGCCTTAGAACCCCAGTATGAATGGGCGGGGCTAAACTGGCTGAGTAGACTGTGTATCTGAGCTGGTTCTTGTGGCTGTTTTTGAAGCTTATTTTTCATATGGACTGTGGATTGTATATTTTGAAATAAACAATGTTTACATATTACTCTCTCTCTCTAGTGGTGATCATTCCATTGGTTGATGAAGATGAAGACAAGGTTCTTTCCCTCATGCTGGTTAGTTTGCTGTCTTTTTATTTTTCTTAATTTCTTAACATTAAAGTAAAGTCAAGCTTCATTGTCATTCCTCTTCATACACATTTGATGTATAAAGTTATAGTTTTCCAGTTTAAACACTTAGAAAACCCTCTTCTGATGATGTATCTTGAAGGTGGGAGGTGCTTTTCGAAAAACTATGACTGCTTTGGGGTGGACATATGAGGGCAGGCTGTTTGAAATGATATATGGTGAATGACAAGGTTTTCAAAATGACAATTTTTAAAAATGTTGTGAAAACGGACCTGACGTGCTTTTTTATATCTGCATATATATTTGCATTTATGTCTTAAATGTAGTGAGTGTTATCAAAGCTTTTGATTGCCTATTTCAGTTATTAAAACTAGGCTGGTCTGGTTGCCCAACATGACTTACTGGTTGCGCCACCTGACTTTTCAGACTAATTTCAAATTAAACAGGTCTCTACTTAGATACCCAGAAACCTTTGTCTTTGAACTTCAGTTTAGACCTATATATTTTAAATTATTCAAATTATTAACGTTATTATAATAATTACACATTTTCATGGTTCCCCTGAGCTCATTTCACCTGACAGGGTAAACTAAACTAAAGTGTGACTCGAACTTGACATTCCTACAAAATTGTGAAAGAGCTGCTGACCTTGGCATTGCACCTTAAAGGTCACTTGGGGTCTTCTTTATGATGCAATACCTGGCGCCTCTTTCATAAAAGCATGTCAAAATAAAAGCCGTATTTTTGAGCACTTTTAAAGTTGCCTTATTTTGCATCATAATTTTTATTTTAAAGTTGTCAAACAGAAAATCATGCCAAACTATTTTATTTAGAATTTTATGTAACTAAATGACCTTTTTAGATGATTTCTTAATCAATATATATGGTTGGACGGTTGCACAATCTGACCGTTTTAGACTTTTGGAGACAAAAAGAAACTCAAATTAATTTTATATTATATATATTATATTATATGTTGTTTCACATAAAAGAGATATTGTTGTCATGTATTTATTAAATTATTTTTTTGGGAAAATAATGAACTTGGACGCAATAAACTTCACGTCAATGATCCATATATCATGACCGTATTCAGTAACCTCTACATTACTGGATTTATGGAGGCTAAAAGTCAAATAAAATGATTGAAAGATACAGAAAAAAATGGGATTCCACCCAAAATACCTGGTAGACCAAGAATGTCCCCATCAGAAAATGCACCATATGACTTACCGGTTGGGCCACCCGACTTTTCAGACTAATTAAAAAAAAACAGGCTTCTACATAGAACTTGAGTTTAGATTTATATATTTCAAATAAATAAACATTATTTTAATAATCACACAAATTTTATGTTTCTACAGGACTCATTCCAGCTTACATGGTAAACTGAACCATTCTAACTGTGACTCAAACATGACATTTTTTTCCAAAATTGAGAATGAGCTACTGACTTTTGCATTGCACCAAGAAGGATCACTTAGGGTTTTCTTAGTGACTCAATACCCTGGCCGCTCTTTCATAAAATGACCCATATATATCATGAGTGTATTCGTTAACCTCTAAATTACTGGATTTATGGAGGCTAAAAGTCAAATAAAATGACTGAAAGATACAGAAGAAAGTGGGATTCCTAACAACCACTCAAAATACCTGGTAGACCAAGAATGTCCCCATCAGATAAACAGGACTTTAGAGATACAAGCTCTAACTCCAGCAGCCATGGTATGAAATGAAATATAAACAAAATGTTATGTAAAGTGACTGGGTGCACTAGATGGAGTTCAGTAGATGAAGATGAAGCACAGGGCTGGAGTTAGTAGTCCAGAAAGCAATCAAAAAAAAAAAAATCATTTTCCACACACATACAGCTCCCCCAGATGACTCAAATCTCTCCATCCCACGCCATCAGGAGCCCCGTTTCTGAAGCGTGTCCTCTCGAATTTGAACTTCTGGAATCAATTAAAGAAGCATTCCTCTCCAAATCTGTGATTTAATATGTGATTCCTCACAGCGAGGACAGTTCGGAAAGCTACAGCCAGCAAATGGAAAATGAGAAAGTGGTGAATTATCACCCAAGCAAAGTGGTGATTTAAGATAAGGAAATGAATGTCTCCAGAAAAAAGAACCATATGAAACTTCAATCTCAAAATGCTTGATAAGATCGACATATCATAGTAGCATTTTCATATTTCTCAAGTGTCTACAAGAGCCCCGTTCAGTGATTGGGCCTGGTTTATATGGAAGCTCTGAAGGGTAAGATGGAAAAAATAATTGAAAGTGTGTTCCTGAGTCTAAGTGCACTTTATTTATTTATAAAGTAGCAAGAATTATTGCACAAAAACCTAAAAAAAGATCTCACTGACTACTGTATAAAATTATATAAAATTTTATATTTTATATATATATATAAAGGCTAAGACCTAGTATGTTACACCAGCTATGACATGCAGGAGGCAGCTGTTTTTTCTCTTGCCCTTTGGGGACCAGGTCAAATGGTAAAATAAATAAATAAATAAAAATAAATAAAATAAAATAAAATAAAAGTGGCAAACAATTAGCATAGCCATAGCAGCTCGTGCCCCAAGGGGGCAGATGATTTTTTTCCCCTTACCCTTCAGGAACCAGTAAAAAAAAATAACGGGGAGCTAATTGGCTAACAGTTAGCATGCCATACCAGAAATCCTTAGCTTATTAAGTCTGGTTTACTCAGTTTTTCCCTTTACCCCAAATGTAGTCAGTTGTCCAATGCATGTTTGGTTTATTTGTCAGTGGAACTAAAGGCTAACAAGAAATGGACACTTGCTGACCAATTAGCATTGGGCAAATTTCACAAGAGTCATGATTACTTACGGTTTAAGCGTTAGCAGGGTAAAACTCACGTCCTCTCCATATAACTACTGCAGAAGCAATGACAGAATGTTATAGTAGTGAACTATAATGCTCAAACACTGAGCTACAACGGCTATATTTCAGTTTTCCTGCACTGTCGTGATAAACAGTGAGAATAAGAAGTGAATGGAAGCTCTGATTTAACTGTAAACAGAGCTAAGATACTGTATGTGTTGGATATCCTTGTTTTTACTGAAGTCTGCTGCAGCTTCTCACATCAAGCAGTCTCTGTGTCTTTGTTCAACATGCCAGCAAATTCTGTAATATTTCTGTTTTCAAAAGAAAGAACTTTTATATGTAGCATGAATTTGATGGACTGCGTTTATATTAAGCTAGCTACACTGGCTAGAAGCTACTGCTAACCAAACTAGATTGCCCGGCTAACATAAAGCAGCTTTTCTGCATCACCAGCTAATTTTGTACTCATCCTTAAAAAGCTAATGAAGGCAATAAACCGTCAACGCAATAATTCTTACATGATCAGCTCGGTACAAACAGCTAACGTTAGCTGGCACATTATGTCAGAGACCTTACATGGCTCTTCCCAGATCACAAACAACTGGCTAGCTATGTCAGGAAATGGAAATCAAAGGTCACCACAGAACCGCGATGCTAAGATACAAGTTAGCTAGGAGTCGCGTTTTTGATCGAGCAGTGAAAGGTGGATGTTTTCCGAAGAAGTGCTTCAAAAGTTGCCGTGAATCTAAAAGAATGATGCTGTTTGACAGATCACTAACAAGCTAGCCAGCTAGCTTTAAAGTTTGCTGCTCATATGAAGCTGGAGTTCCTCAAACTGCTAATGGTAAGCTAGCTAGCTAATTAGCGACTGTAGCCCGCTAGCCTATCATAAGCTAAAACAAGTTTAAACAAGGTCTGTCAAATAGACTTTATATATGAAAGTTTTGGTTTGCGTTTATGTTGTGGCTAAGCTAACAGTAGCATAGTTAGCCGGCTAAATATCCCCCACACCACAGCATAGCCTTGTTTTCAGCCGTTTAGAGGATGTATGAGCGCACAGGGTCACGTGAAAGCTGAAACGGAACATATTCTGTGGTGTTTGTAGCTTTTAAGACAATCCTCATAATCATTCACGCAGCAAAATGGGTGGAAGGTGTTATCCATTCAGATGTGGAATAGAAATTTGACACATTAATTTTGAAATACTGTCATCCTTTCTAAACACCGGCATCATTGGTAAATCCCGGGGTACACCTTTATATACAGTCATACTGCCAAATCCTATAAACATCCCAACATGGTGTGGGATTATGTTCATGCAGTTCACAGAATGCTAACTGGTTAGCTTCCATTAATTGCTAGCTAAATTAGCCTTGTAGCCTTGTAAACTGTGTCTCGCCAAACTATCGCTTTAAGACTCCAATGCTCGCCCTCTGCAGCCCATCTTTCCGTTGAAGCTCATTAAATCTCATTAACTGACTGTCTTGTAACGTTTTAACGAGTTACTACGTAACATTGTGAAGAATCTTCCCATAAAACGCTTGGCACTTTGTTCTGAATGTGCTGTTTTATTTGGATCGTAAAATTTATGCTCCTCTGAGGGTTTGAGTGATAAGATGGCGGGTGTTTTTATTCATTGGAGTGAAGAGAGAAGGGGGAGAAGCAGGAGAGAGAACTTTGACTCAAAAGCTCGGCAAGATTATGACATATTTTTTATGATGACAATTCTAAACAACATACTGCACTTTCGTAACAAAGTGCTTAAGCCTTTTAAAGTGAGACAAAACGCCATGCTATCTTTGGAGAATCACTGCTCCTCAGTATTGTGAGCTAGAGATATGCGGCCTTTACCGCTTGAGTCTAGAGAAACAGCGCAAAACCATAAGGCCAAATTTATCGCTGTGGGTCATGTACTTCCTATGTAGATCTGAAAAGAAAAAAAAAAAACAGAAAAAGAAAAAAACCGAGCTAAGTGGATGTTTTCTACAGATGAGCCTCTAGAATTGCTGTTCCAGCACATAATGGAACTGAACTCGTCAGATTCTAAATCATATTATAGAGGAGATGTGACTGATTTTGGCGTGTTGATGCAGACGATACAGACTGCGTAAAAAATGCGAAAAACAGACCCTGTTCATGTGTGGGGTTTGCGAAGTGCTCTGAAACTGCCAGCAGAACTTTTACATAAGTAGTGTTCCATGCACAGAAAAAGGACACAACTTGAAAACAAGAAGAAATCAAAACTTCAAATAACTTGTATTTTAGGTCAAACTGTTTATTTTTTATTATTAAAATTTTTTTCAATATCATTGTTTACCAAAACTGCAAAAACATTAAGTTCGTTTTTTGTGCTGTTGTCGTTTTATGGGCTAATTCACGAATATAGTATGTAGAAATATTTATTTGATGCATGTTTTATTAGTAGAGGTTGGACTGAATATGAGGATGTACAACCCCATTTCCAAAAAAGTTGGGACGCTGTGCAAAGTGTAAATAAAAACAATGCAATGATGTGCAAATTGTTTAAACCTTACATTTAATCGAAAATAGTACAAATACAACCTATCAAATGTTGAAACTGAGAAATTTACTTTTCAAAAATATAATAAAAATTCTCAGTTTCAACATTTGATGTATTGTCTCTCTACTGTTTTCAAATACATACATGGTTTACATGATTTGCACGAATGCATTCTGTTTTTATTTACATTTTGGACAGCATCTCAACTTTTTTGGAAACAGGACTACAAAGGAAAGTGCAAAATGCAAAAGTATGCAAAGGTGGAAGTGTCTCAGCGTAGGTCTTAAATGGTTCATTACCACAAAATTCAAGAAATAAAACTGCTGTCATCTTTTAATTTTATCAGCAGGTCACATACAGGGAAAAAAGGGAAAATGACCATCAATTCAAAGGATAAAATCGTTATCTAGTGAGAATAAACATAAATAACATGCTGTAGCTGTGTTTTTGCCTGCTGTAGAAGAACAGCATGCCATGCTACAGCTGAAAGGACAGTACAAAACGTGCTTAAAACTGATCAGAACTAGAAACTAGCCCAAAATGTGTCTCCAAATTGTGAACAGCAGAAAGTAAGTCTAAAAAAATTCTCTCCGTCTAACAAAACGTCTGTCAACTCATATTACTCTTGAATACTCGTATTGTCCTTGTAAAAAAGTTCATTAACAAACTTTAAGTTCTTTGAGATCGCTTTGAAATCCCAGGTGATTGCAAAGGTGTTTCTATGTTGTCCCAGGTGGTTGCTAAGATTTTTCTAGGACATTGCTAGGCTAGAGAATCTCAAGTGGTTGCAATGATGTTGCTATGCTGCTGTTTTGTTATCCCAGATGGTTGCTAAGGTGTTGCTAAGCCACTGCTATGGTATCCTTGGTGGTTGCAAAGGTGTTACTAGGTTGTTACTGTGGTGTCCTAGGTGGTAGCTAAGGTGTTGCTAAGCCAATGCTATCGTATCCTACGTGGTTGCAAAGGTGTTACTAGGTAGTTACTGTGGCGTCCCAGGTGGTTGCTAAGGTGTTTTGGAATCTGCTGCCAGCATCAGTTTGCAAACATATGTTTACAAAAAACAGTTGATAAGGTAAAACCTTATCATATTTACATTTAAGTGCAGATAAAAATCTATACAGATGTACAAAAAGGCTTGCTTTCCATTTTTATTTGCATTTTACTGTCTCACCTTTCTTGGACTTGAGATTTATACTTGAACCTGTTTAAAAACATGTTATGCTGAGTATATATAGTGAGAGGAAGTACTGTGTAATAAAGTAGACAGTGGCTGTATTTCAATAACGATAACTGTAAATATACAAACGACACTGACTCTATGATTTCCTGTAGCTCTTAGTGTGTTTGTGCGAAGCATGTGTGAAGTCAAAGCCAGACGAGCTGAAGATAAAGACGTGTTCGAAACATGTTTATAGCTTCACAGTCTGTGTGCGGAACTTCTTTCCATCTTGTCACCCACCTCTCCCAGATGTTTCCTTGAACCGGCCTCAATATTGCAGGAATTGCTCCCAGATTCAGCTCAGGATTCCAAAATACCAAAACCCTGATGAAATCTACACAGGCCTCTGAATTATTTCTCACGTTTTTGTACAAATACTCATACGCACATGCATGTTTTATCAAGCTGTATTAAATATAGCTTAGCAAGCTATAGGCTATAGCACTATATCAAACTGAATTAAATATCTCCATTGCTGTTTCTGGCTGTTGTTCTAGTTAGAACATCAGAATATGTAGAACGTAGCAATAATTCAGAATGACCCAGAAGGTGGCAACTGGAGTTTTCACACCGGCTCTCTCTCTCTGTTTTCTCTCTGTATGTCACTCACTCACTCACTCACTCTATGTAATGTAGCTTATATATGTTTCTTATCAGTGTCCTGTTATTATGAAGTTAAAAACAGAATTACACTGTTTTTCTCAGTGTTTGTTGTTTGTGGCGAACAACAAAGAAAAAAAAAGTGCCATGTCCGGTGTGCATAGCTCTGGCAGATTACATTTGTGTGCAAATGTTTGGGCACCCCTGGCCAAATGACCTATATTGTTGACTTTCTATGTGAAAATAAGTTGCTCGACAAAGAATACACTTCTGCACGTTTTAATACACAACCACTGTTCATTTGCTGAATTTAGATTTACATCCAGAGGAAAAAAAATAGATGGCCTGTGCAAAAGTGATTGCACACTTTTATTTTACATTTTCCAATATGATAATCTCAGCAAATAAATAGATATTGCTTACTAAAATGGACAAAAATGCCATATCTGAGTTTGTTCCCTGTAGAGGATGTTATTTTCACTTAGAAAATCAACAAAATATGCCATTTGACCAGGGGCGCCCAAACTTTTGCACAGGACTGTATGTCATTTCGTTTTATAAAACTGCAAAAAAAAGTGGTTTTCCTGTATGCGTTTAAAGATGTGTTGTTGAAATTTGAAATATAGTAATTTCCTGCCTTATACACTTACCGAGCACTTTATTAGGAACACAGTATTAATACAGGTTAGGGCCTCCCTTTGCTCTCCAAACAGCCTCAAGTCTTCATGGCATGGATTCCACAAGATGTTGGTGGGTAGGTACATTGTGGCTATGAAGGGATGCACATGGTAAGAAACAAAACTTGAATAGGCTGTGACATTCAAGTGATGATTGATTGGTATTAACAGACCCAAAGTGTGCCAAGAAAACATTCCCCACAAGGCAGGTTGGGTCCATTTTGGCACCAAAAACAGAAAACAAGACACATCAGACCAGGCTATGTTTTTGCAGTTTTGGTGAGCCTGTGTCCACTGCAGCCTCTGCTTTCTGTTCTTGGCTGACAGAAGTAGAACTCAATGTAGTCTTCTGCTGTTGTAGCCCATCCACCTCAATGTTCGATGTGTTGTGCACTCTGTGATGCTTTTCTGCTCATCACAATTCAGAGGTAATCTGAATCACCATAACCTTTCTGTCAGTTTGAAACAGTCTAGCCATTCTCCGTTGACCTCTCTTATCGACAAGGCTCTTCCATTTGCGGAACTTGCACCATTCTGAGCAAACACTAGAGACTGTTGTGCATGAAAATCCCAGAAGATCAGCAGTTATGTAAATACTCTACCAGCCTGTCTGGCAGCAACAATCATGCCACAGTCAAAATCACTGACATCACATTTTCTCCCCATTCTGATAGTTGATGTGAACATTACCTGCAGCTGCAGGTCCATATCTGCATGATTTTGTGCACTGCACTGCTGCCACATGATTGGCCGATTAGACAATTGTACAGGTCTTCCTAATAAAAAAGTGCTCGGTGGGTGAATATTACATTACAAGTAATCAGATCAGAAATCTGTACTGGAATACAGTATTAAAGCAACCATCCCTTCCCTGATTGTTCCCTTATCATTCCTTTTCTCATCTCAACAGGTCAGCTGCCGACAGCTCATGGACCAGGATGAGCAGAACCTTAATCTTCTGGAGAAGCATGTAAGACACACATACACAGCGTACACACTACAGACAAGGTTGTGCAGAAAAATGAGCAGATGGAAGCTGTTGTTCTTGTTTTCCCGCATCATTGCTCTTACATCTTTCCATTTCAGCAAAGCGAACTCTAGCTTAGCCTCCATAAACCTCCATGGTGTAGTGGTTTTTGGTTTTTGCTAGTGTGGTGGGAGTCAGGGCTGAATTGCTTACTGTGATTTGATGGAAATCCATTGAAATCCTTTGGGAATTTCAGATTTACAAAATTTCTGCGCAGTTGAAAAAGTCATTTAGTGCAGTTTGAAATGGTACATTGTAGAGGAGCTTGCCGACTTTTCTTCACAGCACTGATGATAGGAACCTCTAACTGGTTAGGACATAATAGGATGTCTAAGACAGGGATGCAGGAAGGTGTTTTAAGTTGGGGTACTGAAATTTTAAGCAGCATTCGTGTGACGTGACCAATGATGTCATTTTTCCACGCTTTTTTTCCAGCACATTTCTTAAAACAATCAATTATTTTACTACATAAAATTATTTAAAGCAAATAAAAAATGTTTAGAAATAAGATAAACAATCTTAAATTAAGCTTACAACAATCTCAACAGGAAAAATATTAGATTTCTTGACTATATTTCAGATATTTTACTTGACAAGATTCTTCTTGAATTATAGAGAGGCACAGTCATGTATTTCATACATTTTTTCTGGATAATTTGACGGTCACTGGCTGTTAAAACCAACTGTTTGATCCCTGCAAGTAATTTTCATCTTTTCCCATCCATCCATCTGGTGATCTGCTCAGGAGGTAGAGTATGGAGAGATCAAAGTTGTATACATAGCAAATTATGGGAGGTCATTCCCATTTTGATCATTCCTTGTTTTCTTCCAGGACTCTGACATTCATATGAAGTCAGTGCTGTTTGACTCAACTGATGATGACATGTTTTAAATGTGTTTATGGATTCACACTTTGTCTGCGGAACTTCTTTCCATCTCGTCACCTCTCCCAGATGTTTCCATGAACCGGCCTCACTAGTCTGAAAATTGGTCCCAGATTCAGCACAAATGCCAAAATTCTGATGAAATATTCTCAGGCATCTATACTTCTACTGATATTTCTGGCTGACACACACACTTGGGGACACACATTAATCAAGGTGTGATGAAATGTATAATTGCAGTTTTTCTGGGTGCTGTTCTGGCAAGGATCTACTAAACAGCAATGCTTTAGAACAAGGACGTCCAGAGTCCAGCGTTAGGGCCAAATGGAGCCTACCGACAGATTTGGCTTCTGTTTTAGAGTGTGTGATAAGTGGCCCAACAGCCAGTACATTGCAGTTATTTCTTTCACCTGATGGTGGCAGCAGTGCTGTAAAGTTACAGCATAACGCACCACATTGTGGTAACTAGGTTAGCTAAAGTTTAAGAGCCTTTTTTCTCTGACTAGACCTGCAGCTTCATTTACCGAATGACGTTTAGTCATGATTGCGTCTTCTGCGATCTTCAACTTGAACACGGAGAACCGGCGATTGTGACGAAATGAAATTTTGAAATTTGAAAACTTTTTCATCGAGAGCCAAAACAAAGGCTTAAGCCTCTTATTTCAAAAGACTAAAGAAATCAATATCAATAGACATGAAACAAAGCATGGATATTAAACTAGATATTGAGGAGAGGGTAGACAATCTAAAGCAACTGCAAACTACCTGAGCCTCACAGCACCAACTTCTTATCAGGGCAATTCAGTAGTTCTGCAAATATTAACCCTTTAAGATTGAACAATAACTCATTGAGCTTGATTCAGTATAACTAACGTTATCTCTCTTACTGCTTTATGCTGTTTAATCTTATTTAATTTGATTTCTGAATGCAGTTGCTGCATTTATTTGGTATGTAAAGACTTTGATCTAACAAAAAGAAAAAAATATATAGTTTTTTTTATTTAGTTTGTTTCATAAATTATGTTTTTGATGGAAACACTTGAATTGGAATACACATGTATTATTGTTACTCTCAAACAGTTTAATTCTTTGCTTGCCGATCCAAATTGCTTGGAGAAATCCAGTAATGAAAGATCAAGATCTTTTATACAGGGATGTAGTGATATTTTGTCCTGGGATGGACTGGTGACCTGTCCAGGGTGTTTCCTGCTTTCCATCCAATGACTGTTGGGACAGGCTTCAGCACTCCTCGTGAAGGATAAGCAGCTTAGATAATGTATGTGTATGAATAATATTTCAGCCCTTGGGTATTTTGACACAATACAGTCTGGCCCTCTTTGAAAAAAGGTTGGACACCCTTGTTTAAGAATGACCTTACCCATTAAAGTTTACAGCATGACAAGCCTTGGGCAACAGAAAAAGCCTTATTAGTGCCAAGTTCTGCATCATTGCAGAGCTATCAAGAACCCCTTCATTCCTCTTTGTTGTGTTGTGCATATTACCAAATTGTAAGATGAAGTCATTTTGGTCTTGATCACTTCAAGATTCTTTCTGAGGCCCAAGAGTCCCCAGTTGGCCTCAGGCCTTTGGGTTGAAGCTCTTGTAAGGCCAAGTGTTAATCCAGGCCCAACCTTTTCTGCAAATGTGCCATAGAATCTGGGTGAAGTCTAAAGTCTTTACCCATTCTGAGTCAGGTCCAGAGTTTCTGGCTGTGAAATATGAATGGAGTCCAGAGTCCCTGGGTGCAAAGTCCAAGTCAAGTCCAGAGTTCTTATCTGTAGGGACAAAGTCAAGTCCGGAGTCCCTGACTATTGACTGTCAAGTCCAGAGTCTCTAGCTGTAGACTTCAAATCAAGCCATTATCCCTATCTGTAGAGTCTGAATTGAGTCCAGAGTCCTTAGCCACAGAATCCGAGTCATGTCCAGAGTCCTTAACTGTACATTCTAAATGGGGTCCGAGTCCTTATCCGTGGAGTCTGAAGCGAGTTCAGATTCCCTAGCCATAGAGACCGAATCATGTTTGGAGTCAATAGATATACAGTCTAAATCGATTCCAGAGTCCCTAGCTGCAGAGTCCAAATCAAGATCTGAGCAATTGTATTTGCACATTGTTAGGAATTCAAGATAATTTGATTTTTGTATTGACACGATTTCTGGAACAGAAAAGATTTGACAATAATATTTATTTCTGTATGCAGCCTTGAGTCACAAATATATGAATAAGAAGTCCAATACAAATAGTGAAGCTTTGAGTCTCAGCTGAGTTGCAAGTCAAACATTGTAGTTGAGTTGTGAGTCTGAAGCTTTGCAGTTGCAGGTAATAAGCTTTAAAGTCTGAGTTGAGTTGCGACTCATAAACCTTGAAGTCTGAGTTGAGTTGTGAGTCATAAGCTTTGAAGTTTTAGCTGAGTTGTGAATTGAATGCTTTTCAGCATGAGTCATGTTGCGTGTCATAAGCGTAGATGTCCGAATTGAGTTGTGGCTCACAAGCTTTGACGTTCGAGATGCAAGTGATAAGATTTGAGTTATCAGAGTTAAGTTGCGAGTCATAAACTTTGAGGTCTGTATTGAATTTTCAGTAATAAACTCTAAAGCATCAGTTGAGTTGTGACTCTTTAGATTTGAAGTCTGAATTCAGGTGCTAGTGATAGGCATTGAAGTCTGAGTTAAGTTGTGACTCATTAGCTTCAAAGTCTGAGTTGAGTTGTGGGTCATAAGCTTTAAAGTCTGAGTTGAATTGCAGGTCATACACTTTAAAGCATCAGTTGAGTTGTGACTCCTAAGATTTGAAGTCTGAATTCAGTTGCCAGTTGCAGGTCATAAGCTTTGAAGTCTGAGCTGAGTCGTGACTCCTAAGCTCTGAAGTCAGAGTTGAGTTGTTGCTCATAAGCTTTGAAGTCTGAGTTAAGTTGGGACTCATCAGCTTTGAAGTCTGCATTGAGTTGCAAGATATAAACTTTGAAGTCTGAGTCGAGTTAGGGGTCATATGCTTTAACGTCTGAGTTGAGTTGCAAGGCATAAGTTAAGCATGAGTTGCATTGCATGTTTATACATTAGCAACTCAAGTCGCAGGGTCTGGGACTCAAGTCCTCATCTCTGGGTGAAGTTGCTCTGGAGAGAGGCAGCAAAAGCCAAAAGCTTTAGCAGTAAAAGGACTGTGTGCCGGTGTCATCATGCATTTGCTTTGTTTGGAGCCATGCCATCTACAGAGTCTCGTTGAACAAGGGCTGACTTCGGCTTCTCCACAGGGTGCCCTAAGTGAAGAGACTTCAAGTAGAAAGAGGGCTGAAGGGAGAGAGAGAGGGAGACACAGAACGAGCAATCTCGAGAGAGAGGGTAGGATGATAGAGAGAGAGAGCGATAACAAGAGAAAGTGAGCAAGAGAGAGAAAGGAATGACCTTTCTGGAGAAAAATAACAAAGATGGAAATAAAAAAGCCCCTGGGAATGAGATGAAGGCCTTTCCAAAAACAGTTTTCAATAGCAAAAAAGGCACCATAAGGGGTAACTAAAGTGACTTTGATGGCAGATCATTTCCTATCTCAGCTGAACAATGTGTAATTTTCAGAGTCCATAGCAGCTCTTTTGGAATATGCCCAGTCGAGATAATCTAGCAGAAATCTAGCCGGACACACTGGGGCTAGAGCTTTCATGATTACTTTGTAGGAGGCCTCTATTTTCCTTTCTTCTAGCCTGTATATTCTGATTGCCTTTTGTATGTTCTGTGTGTTCCTGCTAGCTTACCGTAGCCTGTAAAAGAGTGCAGGCACTACAGAGGACCTCAACATGGCCGTCAGCCCAATCCCATGATGCACCACCCAAAGCCAACTCCGCCACCACAAAGGAAAAAGACTACAGAGAATTAGATCGCAAGATTCTGCAGCTTTGTGGTAAGACACTCACAGCCACACAACCGGTGGCACAGCCAGAATTTCATTTTAGGTGGGCTTGGTTACAGGTGGAGGGGGCCAAGGTCCCAGAGACATTGCTATAGTGAGGTTGGTACCTCCAACTAGCCAAGCAGCCTACATCATTATAGCTATCTTAACCACCTTGCCAGAAAAACCAGCATAGACCAGCATAGCTGGTCACCCTCAAGACCAGCATATGTTGTGGTTTTGAATGCTGGTATGCTGGTCAACCAGTGTGACAATGCTGGGTGACTGGTTAAACTAGCACCAGACTAGCATAAACCAGTTTACACCAGCATGGAATTCTTTCTGGTCTAATCTGTTTTATTCAGCAGGTTATTATGCTAGGTGAGCTAATATGCTGCTAGATAGCTAGCTAATATTAGATAGCTAGCTAGCATGGAATAGCTAGGCTAATGTTAACAAACTTTACCACTAGTTAAGTAAAAAGTATAAGGTAAGTATAAACTTGTTGTGTTTGCTCTGGTTCACCAATATTGATGCAGCCTAACTAGCTCTTCTAACGTTTAAAAAATTGCATTCTCAAAGTTCTGCGTTTGTTATTGCGAAGTGTTCCTAAGTGCACCAATAATTCCACCAAACAGCCTTACCTGAGTTTCCACATTTGCCCTGCTCATCACATTTCATGAGGTTTGCATAAAAACCTTGAGAAACAGACAAGTACCCCCTCACCACTGTAGCTTGGTGAGTAGTTTACATTGAATGGGGTATTGGAATAACTGAAATTTGAGAGGATTTTGATTTTGAGAGAAACCCCTCCTCCTTGCAACCTTGCACCCTATAAATTCCCATCGTTACCTTCTGTTTCACTAGTTTTCACTATTCCTACCACTACCCCACTTGCAAGTTTTCCCCATCACTGACTTATTCCGCATTCCTATATCAGGCCTACCACCGTTAAAAAAGGGGTATCTGGCCTTCTAGCTCCAGGCAGAAACCTCCCAAGACTTCAAACCATCCCAAGAAGTTCTCAGAGTTCTCTCCCCTCCCTCAATCAGGTTTCCCTCATACTACCAAATATGTGTTGAAGACACAGTGTGAACTCACAAATGTAGAAATATGGTGTTGTGTCTCTTTGCTAGTTGTGGTGTTCAGGGTGCTTGTTAATGTTACTAATGTTCCCATTGGCTGAGTAGGAAGAATTGAACCAGATGGACTTTTTCTCCTCAAGAATGAAGCATAATAAGTGCTAGTTTCTATTGTCAAGCTTTCGGCCTCCACTTTGCAAAACCTGTCACATGCAGATTCCTTGCGGTTCAGTGTCCGAAAGCAGCTACTTTCTCATTGAATGCATAAAATTCACAGACGCACCATGGTGGCCCCTGTCCATCACTTTCATCTTTCGGCCACAATTCTGACGAGAATTTACGGTAGACTAAGATTTTTACCACTGCTGGTAGACCCGTATGAATGTATGCTTCAATACACCTGCAAATTCAGCTACTTCCTTCACACTATGGCCTTTGGCATGCCCAAATACAATCACTCCTTTTCACATTCACATTCACTGCACTGTACCATCTTTTCTCAATCTATGAATCCCGTCGCATACCCCGCATGAATTTATAGCCCAGTCATCCTCATGCATCTGCAGGAGCCTGAAGTTACTACCACCTTAACATGCAAGGTGACTCATTTTTCGTTCGGGGAGCTTATGAAGTTCAACCCTTGCATGATGTGCTTAATAAAACTAGCATTTTGTCCATGTTGGAAAGAACTACCGGACATGCCCAACTGCTCTCCTGTTGGCTGGGCTGAGGCTGAGGCTGAAGGAAGCTTTTCGAGGGAGGCTAAAAACTGGTGACCCTCCATTCCCACTTAATTACGCAGTGCAGATGGAGGTTCAAGAATGCTACAAATCACAGCAGTGACTGTGAGAAAGGTCCATGGAAAACCAAAAAACTAAATTATATTGAAGGTGGTGGCCATTTTTACCGCTTCAGAAAAGTATGTTTGGTGTGTAATTTTACAGTACAATTTACAATTTTACTGGCTTTAACACAGAACATAAAAAATCACTGACATTCTTTACGGTGTACCTTACAGTGCACAGGTCCTTCTTAAGGTTCAGTCTGCAACTTTTTCTATTCCCTTGCCGGCTACTTGCTTTTTATATGCAAGTATTTTTAAACTGTTACAAAAAAAGAAGCTCGCTGTTCTCATGTGAGGACATCCATTTTTTCACTACATCCTGTCCAAGGTTAATTTTACGTAGTTAGCAGGTGTTTCAAGATACAAATAGCAAAATGAACTAAACAATAAAACCTCATGTCTTAGGAGGATAAGGCCATAGTGCACTTTGTACATCATGTAATATTAATGTAAAGACTACAACAAACAAACAGGCCTAAACACACCAGAATGCATTGCTCTCTGCTGGAATTTGCACCTCTGCACTGACAATTGAATAAATAGGCCAGTGGTCCGAATATATTTATAACTGTTTCAAGAGCTTTTGAATTTTAACAAGGACACAGCTTCTTTTGCATAAAATTACAGAGTCAAATGAGGTGCTGCAATTTTATTCAATTACCATTACATGGAAAGTGGCCTAATTAAACGATGTGTAAAGAGTGAATGAGAGCCAAACAAAGATGTTCTCATTTCACATTCAAAATCACAGCACAAGCTGTGCAAAGTTTGCAACATCGCAAAGGCCACATAAAAACTATTCTGTGCAGGAAGTAACGTTACAGAGACTCATGAGAGCTGAAGAGCAGCTGTACACTGTTAGAAATGAAGGTTCTGTTCAGGTACATTTTTCGTTCATCAAGGTACAAACAGTGTAAATGTTCCCTCAAAGCTCCAACAGTGGTTTTAAGGTCTGATTGTGAACCTTAAATAAGTGTTTCCAGGTGAAAAGTTCGTATTTGTACCTTTTCATAACCGAATGTTTTAAACAGAACAGTAAAATAAAAGCCTGGAGACGAGACGGGGTGTGTGGAGTCAGTACAGCTTAGAACATATCATTTCGGTGGATTATGGTTCAGTTATGTTAATGCAGTGCCACCTGAGGGGTGGAAGGTCACGGACATTCAGTTGTAGTTTTTGGCCTTGCTTTTTTACGCAAAGAGATTTTTTTCTGGATTGCCTAAATCTTTCAATGATATTATGCGCCATAGAGGCCCTGTAGAAATACCTAAAATCCTTGTAAACACTCATAAGAATGTTGTTCTTAAACAGTTGGACTATTTGCTGATGTATTTTTTTTTTTGGGGAAAGTGGCGAGTCTCAACTCAACCTTGCTCATAAAGGACTCGGCCTTTGCCGGATGTTCTTTTTAGGGTCAAGCACAATGTTTTCTGAACATTTAACAACATTTCCTTGTCTTAAATGGCTCCTGTCCCAACGTTTTTGGAGGCATCAATTTCAAATGAGCATATATTTACAAAATCGATGAAATTGAAAAGATAAAAAATGAAATATCTTTCTGTTTTTATTTGCACTTCACTTACTGTCCCAAATTTTTTGGGGCTTTAAATAATGCTGTAAATGAGCTGAACTCATGAAATTTCACTGTTCTTAACCTGTACACTCACCGTCCACTTTATGAGCTCCATATAAATATAGGTCTTCCATGCGGTTCAGTTACAGACTGTCATATGAAATCAGTTTTAGTCGTAATATATGTTCATCCACACGCTATAGTGTTAAACATACTATAACATTGTTTACACCCAGTAGCTTTATTGAAAACCTTCCAGATCTTTCATCCTTAATTAGTTGTCCGTCTGAACTTAGTGAATTAGATATGCTGACTAAATGTTTGGAGGACACTTTTCGCTCTACTTTAGAAAATGTGGCTCCATTAAAAAGTAAAAGAATAAGGCAGGAAAGGCTCCATGGTACAATGACCGTACTCGAGCTATGAAACAGACTGTTAGGCGATTAGAGCGTAAATGGCGTCAGACTAAACTTGAGGTTTTCCATTCTGCCTGGAAGGAGAGTCTCATAGACTATAGAAAAGCACTAAAGTCAGCACGTTCAGCCTCTCAGTCTCTCGTCATTGATTGGAAATAACAAGAATAATCCTAGGCTACTATTCAGTATTATCTCTAAATTAACTAATAATCAAGCAGCTACTGAAGCCCAGATACCATCAGCCTACAGCAGCAATGACTTCGTGAACTTCTTTGATAATAAAATTGAATCAATTAGGCATAAAATTCAAAATGCGCAGCATTGCAGTGCAGCGTCCCATAAACCTAATCTAGACCTAGAGTGCAGAATATCCACTACAGAGACGCTGGAGTCTTTTACTTTACTCCAACAAACAGAGCTCGTCCAAATTATTTCATCTACAAAAACAACAACTTGTATACTAGATCCACTTCCTACAGGTTTACTTAAAGACGTTTTGCCAGAAATAACTAAGCCTTTTCTATCCATAATAAACTCTTCTCTCAGCCTCGGGTATGTTCCAAAATCTCTTAAATTAGCTGTAATTAAACCCCTAATTAAGAAACCTAGTCTTGATCCCTCTGAACTATCAGAATATAGACCTATTTCAAATCTTCCCTTTTTATCAAAAATCTTAGAGAAAGCCGTGGCAAAACAATTATGTTCCCATCTGCATAGGAGTAATATATATGAAAAATTTCAGTCTGGCTTCAGGCCTCACCATAGTACCGAAACAGCGTTAGTGAAAATTGTAAATGATCTTTTATTATCCGCTGATAAAGGAAACATATCCTTACTGGTTTTACTCGATCTTAGTGCAGCATTTGACACAGTAGACCATTCCATTCTATTAGACAGGCTTGAGAAACTAGTAGGAGTGACAGGTAAAGCTCTTTCTTGGTTCAAATCTTACCTTAGTGATTGCTATGAGTTTGTTAATGTAAATGGTGAACCATCGGCTCTCACAAGAGTAAAGTATGGTGTTCCACAGGGCTCTGTCTTAGGACCCATGTTATTTACCTTATATATGCTACCACTAGGTACCATCATTAGAAAAC